CTCCGCGCTCGCTGTTGTCGCTCTGTTGATGACGTCAGCAACGCGGTTTAATCGGGCACGCTTTAGTCGAGTGCGGTTTTGTCGTGCCACGCCCCCCGTCCCCCCCGGAATGAGTCCTGTGGGAAATAACAGGCAGTGGGAAAACTGCTTTATTATCTTGAAGGGGGCTTTGAATTCAATAGACTCCGGAGTTTAGACTCCGACTGATTATACTGACCTTGTTTCCCACTCCTAACGAAAACAATTTGGACACAGTCTTTTTTTTTAGAAAACTCTTTGTTTTCGGAACTTCCATATAGCCTTCCGAGGGGGTTCTGTAGTGAAGGGCCCTTCTCAACATTAAAAGAAAGCAGCTTCCATTTATTTTTTTAAAAAAGGCCTATGATGTAAAACAGTTGCTAAGGCGATGGAGGTCTCTCGCTGTGAAGCTCCCCCCCTACTCACTCTGGAACGGGTAAAAGTAGGGAGTGAGGGTGCATAGTGTCCTTGGGAATTTTCATTCTTCAGCCTTTCTCTCTCTCATTCCTTTCTGCTTGCTGCCAGATGTTGACATTCTTGGGTTTGTGCCGGGGCCCTCTGGGTAATTCTGAAAGCAGCCGACACGAATCCCAGCGGATCAGGCTGCTGGTGCCGTCTGACTCGAAGGGTTGGTCTGCAGGGCTGTAACAAAAGGAGGCCGCCTGCCGACTTGAAGACCCAAGAAAAGGGGTAGTCTGAGGAACTCTGGGGACGCTTTGCTTCAGAGTGAAGTTTAGCTGTCTGCAGCCAGTATGAAATTGCAGGGTTGTGAAATACTGTGTACTTTCTCCGCTGCTTCCAATTCACTATGGGTTGCGCATATTCAGCACGGCCTGAAGAGGCTTTTCCTGGGAGGTAAGTTTAACCTGGGAGCCTTCCGTGGATTTGGGGTGGGGTCTGCAAAATTGGGGGGCAGGGTCAGAGCAAGCCTTTTAAATGCAAAAACTGGTTTGGCAGCAGCTTTGATTCAGGAAAACTGCTCTGACACAAACATGGATGTTGCCATGAGAGGCTACTATTTTTTGGGGGAGTGGGGGTGATGCTTGGGAAGTTTCTCTTACTCTCCTCTCCACTCTGCACTAGCTTATGTAAAGCCGAGCTCTTGCTACTAACGAGATGTAATGAAGCAGAAATTTTTATTTGGCAGGGAAAGTTATTTTTCAACGGAAGGCAACTCTTTAAGATAACCTGCCTTGTCCAGGAAGGAATGGTGGCTCAGAAATACAGGACATTAAGAACAGAAAGAGTTCTTAATGGATGGAAGGATCCATCTTTTCATCTTGTAACATCTGCGAGTGCCACAAGCAAGAGTTAAACACATAGTACCCTCTTGTTGTATTAAACACGAGAGGAATACTTGTTTTGGTACAGTGGTGGGATTCAATGTTTTTTACTACCGGTTCTGTGGACGTGGCTTGGTAGGCATGGCAGAGGAAGGATACTGTAAAATCTCCATTCCCTCCCCACTCCAGGGGAAGGATACTGCAAAATCCCCATTCCCTCCCGATCATCTGGAACTGGAGCCGGCACCAGTCAGAGGTGGTATTTACCGGTTCTCCGAACCACTCAAAATTTCCGTTACGGTTCTCCAAAACTGGTCAGAACCTACTGAATACTTCCTCTGCTTTGGTAGAAGAGTTAACCAATAAGAGTAATGACTAGACAGCTCTTCTCTATTTGTTATCTGGTTACCGCCAAAGTGAATAGCTGCATTATGCTTCGTTTGGGGTTGCTGCTTTGAAAAGCGTTCACAATCTTCTGCTGGCTAGCTACTGTGTATGGGTGTGTGTTGTATATATATAGATAGGAGAGCCTTATTAGTCTATACAGGTAATCCTTGACTTACGACCACAATTGAGTGCCAAGTGTCTTTTGTTAAGTGGAGTTTTCCCCATTTTACGACCTTTTGTGCCACCGTTGTTAGGTGAATCACTGCAGTTGTTAAGTCAGAAACCTGGTTGTTAAGTGAATCGGGCTTCCTCATTGACTTTGTTTGTCAAAAGGTTGCAGAAGGGGATCACATGAATTTTGATCACATGATCATAGGGCTGCTAAAAAAGTTGCAAGTGTGAAAAATAGTGTGTCACTTTTTTCAGTGCCGTTGTAACTTGGAACAGTCACTAAATGAACTGTTGTAAGTCAAGGACTACCTGCAGTGGCAAAAACCCAGCCTGGTAGTAACTAACAATTAACCTGGTAAACATTTTATTAAACTCTTGGAAGTTTATGGCCTTTTAATAAAACATACTAGTTGGAAATGATGCTTGCGATACGTAACGTTACGCTGCCATGTCGTCATGAGTTTGACACCCCTGCTCTAGGCCAATGTTTCTTAACCTTATGGTTGCCTAGTAATGATCAGTATGCTGGCTGGGGGATTCTGGGAGTTGAAGTCCACATACACTATATTGCCAAAAGTATTCACTCACCTGCCTTTACTCGCATATGAACTTACAGTATTTAACCTG